GGATGGAGTGATCTTCCATGTGGATATCTGATGGGAGGTCCGACATTGTTGTGGAAAGAGATAGAGAAGCAAAGAAAAAAACATAGAGGTAAAAGGGTTCTGCTAAAAATAAGAAGAAGCTCTGCTTATTAAGGAGAATGAGTGTGGAAAAGTTTCAAAATCAATGAACCACCCTATTTATAAGACTTGGGGGCACTAGAATAGAAACGACAGGCCATGATTAGAATGGAGATTGAAACGACAAAACCAATCAAGGTTCACGCGTGAATCGACGCAAGGCATCAGGGAAATGGCGTCATCATGACGCATGATGTCATAACGTCACCCTTTCTCATGGACCGGATGGCTCTAACAGACTTATTGGGAAATTAAGTGCGGCCCTCAGAGAGCTACGTTGCTTGATCGTTACGACGACCATGATCTATGTAGCAAGCTCGGTAAGCTAGACCACAAACGACTCTATTCACTCATCGACCTCGCCCGCGAGGACGACCTCGATAAGTGGGAGGGACTAATTGTATGGGTCAAAATATACTTTTGATATGGGCAAGCCACGTCAGCACCATGATAGCCTTCGTTGGCTGCCACGTGCTATCAGTAAGGTCTCCACAAAGATCTGCCCCGGGTCGAAGTAGCCTCAAAGCGATGAAGGGTGCGGTCGAAGAGTCAACAAGGTCAAGGTCGTGAAGTCATCGTAGTTCAAGGTTGAGGTCGAGCATCTCAGACAGAATTATAACGGCTAGTTTTAAGATTGGACACAAAAGAGAATATTTCAGTGAATATTCTCTGCACCTGTACTGTTAGGGTTTCTAGAAATATGTTTCCTATAAATAAAAAATGACACAATGATATGGGACATAAGATATTCATTTGTAAAAAATACATTGACTTTATAGGGAGAATCTGGTCTTATTACAAGCATACAAAAATAACCTTTTTACTAAGATTCTTGTCTAGCATTCCCACTGGATCATTCATCATTGTGAGAGAGAATATCCACATATCTCACCCCTTTTCGGGTGACTCACACGTTTTTATTTACTTAAATGTCATTTATTGCTACTTGTTATTATTAATTCCATATTCTATCTTTATGGATCATTGAACACTGTCAGTATTGCTTACATTCATTGTCATCCGGACAAACATACAAGTTATTTGTCATAAAACCGATAGCTTTGTCTTTAGAATATTATTATTAGCTAAGATTGACTCTTCTTTATTTAATTCTAACTAGTTGAACCAAGATCTATATTTTTGGTCAAACAGTATTTGGTTGTATTGATTGTCTATTTGAATGATGGGGTCTTTTGGAGAAAATCGTGCGGGATTGGTCCAAAACAGACAATATCACACCATGTTAAGAGTATCTTTTAACCGTTTTAGTCTAACATAACATTCCCACTCAATTTAAAAAGTTTTTATATGCTAGTAAAGATTATTTTAATTCTCCTACTGATTTTCTTAACCTAAGAATTAGTAGAGACAGAGAATCTTTATCTAGTATTAATTGTTAAATTCTGTGAAGTAATCATTACTTAATCCTTATTTATCAATATCTTGCGGTAACTTTATCTGAAAAAGGATCAAAGTCAAGGTCTTCTGGCTGCAAGTTGTATGATTATTTTCTCTGTGACATAAAGAATTTTAGATTGCATCTCATCCTTCTAATATTTTTGTTTCATTTTTCTTTAAATGCCATTCTTTCTTCTAGTGAATAATTTTCTCTATACCATTGCTTCTTTAATATTATTTTTTGGTCTAACACATAATATTCTTAAATAATTTCTATTAGTTTCAAACTCTTCGCCTGATGTTATCATCATCAAAGAATCATATGTTTCTCCTGTTTTTGATTGGAGCATTTCACTAAGAATTGGACTGTCAGAGCTATCTATTTTTACTGGTTCATATTTAACTTTGGGGATTGTTTAGTTGAGTTCTTTCTATTAATAAAAACTTGCTATATAAGAAGTTTAATTTTTAATCTGAGAAATTAATAAAAAATATGGCTATGATTAGTAGAGTAAGAACTTAATAACTTTTTATTTTATTAAATTACTTTATCATGCAAGTTGATATGCTTTAAAATACCCAAATATGATAATTATTTACCATTCTTAGGACGACATCTAATCTTAATAAACAAGAAAATAATCAACATGGTCCATAATATATTGAAATTGCAGTTACTTTGGCCCTTAGTATATCCCATGATAGATATTATCCTTGATGCACGTAAAAGGGTGAATATTTTGGTCTAAAGCCCTAAACCTAATAGATTTCCATTAGGGGCTGTTAAGTTTAACCCGTCGGCCTATGAGCAACTCATGTGACAATCACAATACACTAAGGACCATATGGTTATGATTATTAAAGTAAAAATTTACTAGCATTCAGTATAACAATAACAACAATAACAAACTCAGTATAATCCTACAAGTAGGGTCTGGAGAGTGTAGTGTGTACACATACTTTGCCCCTATTTTTTGAAGGTAGGAAGATTATTTTCGATAGACCCTCGACTCGAGAAACAGTGACAAGCAAGCAACCAACCATAACAACAACAAAAAAAAGAAATAATGACTCACGTGTACTAACAAATATCTAGAGATAAGAAATACAAGAATAGTACTAATATTATCAGTGAGAAAGACACAACATATAATAACAAGGTCTAGGGACATGAAATAAGAATATTACTAATACTACCGTTAATACTAGGAAACACCCTGGACTACCTAACAATCTTCGATCATAATTCTCGACCTCCACGCCTTCCTATCTTGAGTCATGTCCTCGATAAGCTGAATCAACGTCATATCATGCCTAATCACCTCTCCCTAGTGTTTACACTAAATTAGTATATATATATTTTTTGGCAATAACTATAAAATATTACCATAACAAACAAAACTAATACACCTAAGTAGCATCTAATGTCTTGGCCTTTCTTACAACTCTTAAGCATATCTAGTTATCCACTCTCTCTTTAATCCCTATTTGTATATGTTGCACTACAAAGTTGCTATTTACATTTTTGCCCTAAATTTTTTCTAGTTTCTAGTCTTCCAAATCTGATAAACAACAGCTCAAAATAAATACTATTAAATTATTAGATATAGTATATATTTACATATAAATTTTTCATTTTATTAAATTACTTAATAGATATGCTTTAAAACACCCAAAATATGGCAAGTTTTTACCACTATTAGGACGACCAAAACTTCCGATCTTAATAAACTACCAAAAATGTATTTTAGTTGATTTATTTACTAAATTGCCATCACGTCGATTCTCTGCTCCGCCGTCGGCCGCCACCCACCTCTCCGTCATGTCAGTTCAGAGATTCTCCCTATCAAAGCTCCGTCGTTGCTCTCGTAACTTACCGAAAATCTCCTTTCTCCACACTGTCACTTCTTCAGACTCTCACACTAAATCCTCAAACCCTTCCAATTCCTATCACCGCCACAACCATGGCCACCGCCGGCACCTCCACTTTCTCAACTCGTTATTACCGTCGCAGCCGCTACTTGCTGGAACGCACTGTGTTTCCTTCTGCCGTTCGTTCTCCACTCGCGACTGGCGAGTTGGTGATATCGGTGACTCGGTGATGACTCAGTATGAGAAGACGGAGTTGTCATTGATCGGAGAAAATGTTAGTGGAAGTGTTGAGGATTCGATTCTCCCAGTGCGTGCCTTGATTTCGTTGCTGGATGGTTATCATGACCTCACTGGCTTCCCTTGGTAAAATTATTTTTGAGCACCTTTAGATTTGTTTATTTGAATTTCAGAAATTCTATGCTTTATAGTTCGAAAATTTGTAGTTTAAATATGCGTTGATCATTGATACAGTGAGGTGAAAAGAGCTATTATGTACAGTGTAAAATGCATATACAGAAGTTAAGCAAACAATGCAGAAAATGCTTTTATTTATACATTAAAGCGCTTATAGAAGAGAATTGTATCTATATATGGTGCAAAATGTGTCATGTTGCTGGAAGTTTGTCTATGATAAGGGACTGCATGATTTGGAAAGGAAAATATAAGGGCCTGCATTAGGCTTTCGGTGGTAGTTGAGATAGGTGCACGTCAAGAGTAAATTGTGGCACTAAACATTTCTTTTTGCTTGTGCTCTGCTTACAACCATTGAAGATGATTTAACGTGTAACTTGTTGTCATTAAGAGCCAGGATTAGGCTTTCGATACTAGTACAAGTAGTTGCATGCTGTTGTTCACTCGTAATAATGGATTCCAGTGGATGCCTCCTTATGTCATACTATCCTCTATCTAGCCAAATGCTTTAGTGTCTACTTTTGGGTGGGAGGAACTGGTTTGTTCAAAATTTAATCACTGGATACTTCGGGGACCATGCATATTTTCTTTGTGAATTTTATGCCTTAGGTTTTACCAGGTTTTTGCTGGAGGTATATGATGTTAGCAGTAATTCAATGTGAACTTTGTGCCTTAGGATTTACCAGGTTTGTACAAAAGGTTCTATGCTGTCGGCAGTTATTATCAAGTCTCTGTGTTTAAAAAATTGGCTTAAGCAGCTTAATCTTTACTTCACTGGTTTAGACCCACTCCATTTTGCTAGATGGCCCACAAGGCCTGCGTTGTTCCTCAACCAAGAAAGAGAGTTATTGACAAAATTCCGTCCAAAAGCACATGGAGCAGTTGATAATCTCTTAATTTTGTAGTTGTTTGTAATTTGTATCAAATGATAGTATATGGTCCTTGAATTTAAAATAATGGTGTATGTACTTGGTTTGCAGGTGGATCATAATAGCTTCTTCAACAGTGGCTATGAGGCTGACATTGTTCCCGTTTGTAATATTGCAACTCCACAAGTTGAAGAGGATTGGAGAGTTATTTCCTAAATGTGAGGCTTGGTTCTCAATACCGTTCGTTTTCCTTTAGCTGATGCTAACTTTGGAACTCAAAAAGTAGGGTGGAGTGAATGAATAGGTGGACTTTTCCTTTTGATTGGAATTTCGGATAAAAAAATATTTCATTATTTCAACTTCAACTTGAAATATAATTTATAAATCAATGTTTGCTTTACCATTTGATCCATTATTTCAGCTTCAACTTGAAATGGAGAATTTGAAGTTGAAAAACTGGTTTGAGGAGTATTTTAAGTGAAATAATGGTTTTTAATCACAAAACTTTAATTTTTTTCCAAGTGAAATTTAAGTCAGACACAACTTCAACTTCCAAATACTCTTTTTCAACTTCAACTTCAAATACACTCTTTTTTTTCAACTTCAACCAAATTTTGTCCAGATGCCTACTAGTATTAAAATCTTCAAAGAAGATGCTCATAGATTTGGATTAACTTGGTAAGATGCTGAGTGATTTTGCCGCTACAAGATGACAAGTTAATTTGCAAAATTAACTTGGTAAGATGCTCAGTGATTTTGCCTCTAGAAGATGACAAATAAGATTTTTTTTTTGACAATTCAGTTCCTTATCATTTCTGCTCGAGATTCACAAAACAATAGAAATCTTAAATTTAATGTGTTCTATAGTTCTACTTCTTTCCTTCCAAGTGCTTCGGTATCTATTCACCCTAGAATAGGGTCGTATCCCTGCATTTTGTCATTTCATGTTTCTTGAGGTGCACTTGTTCAAAAAGAAAGTTATGTAGGGTCCCCAAGGGGATGGCCTGATGGTTGAAGCATGGGATTAATTACCCGGACATTTTAGGTTCCAACACCAGCTATATCACTTGGTTTGAGCCCATCTGCTTCAGCCTTGATGGATGTATCTTGGGAAACCTATGCTTATGGACTGGACAAGTTGCCCTGTAGATTAGTTGAGGTGCTCTCAAGCTAGCCCGTGCACTGCTAATTTTAAAAAGAAAAAACAGAACAAGCATGATAACTTTGATGTTGCTGCTATTTTCTTTGTTGCCTCAAGAATCCATCTCATAATGACATGTCCAGCCTCCACAAAACAGATGAAAAAGAAAGAGTTAAAGAGGCTAACCTAGTGAGTTGTTTGAGAAAATGGACATAGTATTTACCTCTTAATAGAGATGAATGCCCGACAGAAGCTATTATTTTTCAACTGATCTTTCTTATGTATTTTTAAGTGCCTCCTCCATTCCCTCCGCCTATGTCAGGAAGGAGTTTAAGAGACCAACTTAAAATCTTTTTCAAGAAGAAACGAGAAGCAGGATGTCCTTCATTTTTTTGGTACTTCGCCTTTCTGGCAGTTCAGGTGATAATCCTTTCTATTTTATTATATCAAGTTAATTTGCTTTAGAAGACCTTTTATAAAATTCTGGATAACTATTTTTGATTGTACACTAAAATACAGTGAGGAAATTGTGACCTTTATTTGGGAGCCTAGTGTGCAGCAAAACCAAAACTTACGACAATTCAGTACTATCTGAGTGAATCCGAGATTGACTATTCCGATTTGTGATGCGATATTCTAATCATTATACTTTATGTGATTTATAGGAGTTTTGTCTTTAAATCCAAATTAATTTTAGTGATTCCATAGATATTTCTAGTAGTCTTACTATGTTAGGCCTTCAAGCTCTTCCCAACATAAGATGCTCTTATTTGTTTATCAAGTTAAAGTATTTTACTTATGATCTATAAGACCTTTCCCTAGAGAAATGTCTTTTAGGTTAGGTAGCGAATTATGACCTTGTTCTTGCTCTGCAAAATGAAACGATCTGCATATTAGGTGGTAGTGAGCCAATAAAACAAAAATTGACTGGAATCTTGAATCGTGGTTATTTCATTTGAGTGGTTGATATATGTAAACAAAAAAAAATAAGAATAGCTGTATTTGGGATTGTGAAGATATTGTTCTTTAGTTAGTCTTCTGAAAAGGGTCTTTTTTATAGGATTAACTTCTAGAATGACTTCATTTGATTTATAGTGTTGTTAAGTGGACATTATGTTTGTGTTAGTGTTTGTACAACCTTATTCCCCTCTTGGTTCCTAAAAGCGCTTGAGTCTTTTGGTCTTTTCAGAAGTTTGTATGAATTTTTAAATATTAGATTAATGTAGGTCTAAATGGAACCACATGGTTGTGAAAATTCATAAAGTTGATCCTGACTAGCTTGAGATTGAGACATAGACTAGTAATTGTTGCTATGTAGGTGCTATTACAGGCTGTTGGGTACCCCTGGTTATAGAAGTTGGTGAAAAAGGATCTAAGGGAGTGGAATGAGAACATTTATGGTGATTTAGAGAAGGTAAGAAAAAGAAACAGCTGTCAAGTGTCAAGAAAATTTACAAAGGCTGGAAGCAGGCTGGAAGAAAAGTTATGGTATCAGGTGAGGACTTCAGGAAATTGCAAAAGCTGAGGGAGATATCCTGGAGACGAAAGTACCAGTGTTTATGGCTTCAGCAAGGAGGCAAGAATACAGTTTTTTTCTTTTTTCTTTTTACAAAATGACAAATACTTACGGGAGATATAATTGTATGGAAAAGTTGAAGGTTGATGACACTATGGTATGGGATCCAGCAGAAGTTAACAACATGATAGTTGGATAGCATACAGCTCGCTTCAGGAAGAGGAAACTTGGAGAACTTTTGGGGGTATCATGCCCACCATTACAACAAGTGAAAGAGAGTGGCTGCAAAGACCATTCATAGTGGAAGAGATTGAAGAAGCACTGAAACATAATATGGAAACTAACCTCGGGACCTGATGATTATACAATGGAAACATAAATGTTTTCCAGTGATAAAAAATGGGATAATGGATACTGTAAATTATTTCTACCAATATGAAGTCTTTCAAAAACGCCTCTATGCAACACACATTGCTCTTGTTCCGAAAAGGAATTATGCAGAAGAATTCAACGACTACAAACGAATTAGTTTGGTGGGAGGAAAATATAATATTATTGCAAAAACATTAATAGTAAGGTTGAAAAAGGTGATTGGGAAATTGATATCTGGTCTTTGGAATGCTTATATTCTTTGGCCTTTTGGTTTAAGATGACAGATGCATATGATGTCAACTCTTTACTTGAATTCCTTTTTGGAAAAATAAAAAAACTCTCTACTTGAATTCCTCAATTCGCTAGATGTTTGAAACAGAGAAGGCTGAGTTTTTTATTTGTGTATAGCTGAACCTACTTGGTGCTATTCCTATGGAATAAAGATACTTTTACTTATCAAAAGTAATTGCTGTTGTTACTGCTTGAGGACATTTAGTTCTCAGTCTTCGACACAGTCCAATAAGTTAATATTCTTGAAATCATGGTCTGCAGATTCTTTTTTTTTTTTTAAATTATATTTTTAGAGTGAGGTTTGTAGGATTCATTATTTGCTTATTTAGTATGAGTAGGAGTTAAGACTACAAGAAGTTATATTTCGTTTTCCTGGCCTGTTACCTTCAATCTGGATTCCGGTTTGCTTTATTTTTAGTTTTTGATGAAGAATTCACCCGAAAAAAGTAGATGCACCAATGAAGATTTATCTTCACATGAAGGGTATGAAGAATGATAGAATGACATTTGTCTGGTTGAAGCCATTGAAATCTATGCATGAAATTTGGTTGTTTTTGATGAAAGTAAGATGTGGTTGGATAATCTTGTCATCTCGATTGTATTCTTATTCATTTCTAGGTGCCCTGCTTCCTTCTTTGGATTACAACTATTAGAAGAATGTCACTGGATCATCACGAAGGCTTTGATTGTGTAAGGGCACTCTTGTTTTATGCAATTCCTGTGTAGGTTATTGCTCTTTTGGTATTATGATTCTTTCTTGTACTTGTTTAATTGTTTAGTCTGTTTTTTGATTATCATTCTATTACAAGGCTCATTAATACACATAGTACATAAGCTCAAGATGTTAGAATTTTTGTTGTTTCTCCATCTCAAAAACGATTAAAAACGAATCGTTTTTGCTTCTGCAGATAATATGCAATCCAACAACATAGCATTTATACTAACATAGTAACTCTAAAAAAAAGCGAGGCACATAATATATGTAACAGTCTTTCGTAATAAGTATACAAACATAAATGTTATCCCTTAAATCTAGGTGTATGCAACATGAATTCTACTACTGTGCTTATTGAAATGGACGGATGCTCGTTTTACCTTAATAATTGCTTCCTCCCATCTCCTCCTCCAAACAAGATGGGATTTACACACATCCAATGAGGTTTTCTGTTCTTTTAGTGGTATCCCAAATGGTTTTCAATATTTTGAAAGCCTCTTTTTTTTTTTCCTTTTTTTTTTGTATTTTAACATGAAACATATTTTTATCATTTGGACAACCCTCTTTGTCCCCTATGGACATTCAATTAACCAACTATACCCTAATTCTCTATTAGATGGCTATGAGTTCTCATATTTATTCCAATTTATTCAGATAATTCAATATCCCGAGTATTCCTCATAACTAGATTATTATTTATTATTATGTTGGTTTTCAACCAACCACAACCATCCTCTTTTATCTAGATTTGAGATCCGCTATGCTTCACAATGGGAATCTTTTAAAATTACTTGAGATAGCTTTTTCCAGTGAAGTTAAACTATATTTGATGTAAGGTGGGAAAACCTCATACAAGCTCTATATTGAAGACGCAGAATCTTGCACAAAAACATGATTTCTGCAAAGAGCATCCAGTATATGACTATCATTTATGCTCTAGAAGTGCTCTTACAACAAAAATGTTCCACTAATCTGGACTAAGGGATCATCAGTTCCACATAAGCGCCAAAGGGATTATGTTCCATGCTGTCCTTCACCACCTCTGACAACTCCTTGCATTACCCATTTAACTCCAAACATATTCAACACAAATCGCTCTAGTTTATTTGTAATAGGGCAATGAAGTTGCAACTGGTTAACATTTTGCCCCATCTTTGTGCAAATATTGTACGCGTCAATGTGGATTGTCTTTTCACTCAAGTTTTCTACGATCAGGATACCTCCCCATGCTACGGTCAAAATAAAGAAAAGAACAGAAAAAATCCTTGTTCTCCCCTTTTAGTAGCCTGGTACAAAAAGTTCAGTGTGAACATGTTATCGCACTATCCTTCCCATCTCTCTCTGTAGGACATTTTGGTTGCTTGAATCTAACAAACTATTGGGCATCTGATCTTTTGCGGATATCCCTTGAATCTCCGGACCCATAAAATTTCTTTTCTTTTCTCTTCGTGTATCTGGGAAATTACATGCTGTTTGTTGCTAGATATACTAAAAGTATTCGTCAAAGCTTCACATAAAGGGGATTCCACAAACATTCCTACTTCTAGAAACTGATTCTATTATCATTGCATGCTTTATGTTACGCGGCGCCTTCCTGAGATTCCTTGGAAGGGCGACGTAAGGCTAAGCGACCGATGTCCGTGTAGTTACTATCAGCCAACTAGGGTCCCCTCCGTACGCTAGACGAGATTGTTAGTGCCGTACGTGAAAACCAATGTCAAGAGCAATTGAGAGAACAAAAAAGAGAATTGAGAATGAAAGAAAGCTTGATTGCATTAATGAAAGCTATTATAGAAAAGCAACACGGTGTTGAGGGGGAGAGACACCAGTACCGAGAATTGTTTGCTTGCTAGAAAGTTTGATTGCTTGATCCCCCTAATAGTACTTAAAACAAGTACCGCTTTGGGATTTTCACCATCACTTTGTCTCCTACTTGATATTCAACAAAGCGAAGGGAGTAGCGGTTGCTGTCCGGTAACAATTTCAAAAGCGATTTTGTTTGCACTAGGGCTCTTTTGTGAATTGAAACACAGTTGAGCAGCATCCAGAAGCTTCACCCAATTCGTCTGCGTTCCGGTAACAAAATGGCGGAGATATTCCTCCAGCATGCCATTGAACTGCTCCGTCTGGCTATTAGATTTCGGATGAAAACTTGAACTATGGCTCAATTTGGACTCTAGGCACTTAAACAGCTTAGTCCAAAAGTTGCTAGTGAAGCGAGAGTCGCGATCACTAACGATGTCTTTAGGCAGACCCCAATATTTGACAACATGAGAGAAGAAGAGTTGAGCTGTATCTTCTGCTGATATATATTGTGGGGCAACTATAAATGTAGCATACTTGGAAAACCGATCTATCACAACCAAGATAGTTATAAGATCTCCGACCTTGGGCAATCCAGTGATGATCCAGTGAAACGCTTTCCCAAGGTCTCTTTGGAATACGCAATGGCTCCAAAAGTCCCGCTTGTGTCAAGCGATCTGACTTGCCTTTCTGGCATACTAGATAAGTCTTCACATACTGAGCAACATCATCAGCCATTTAAGGCCAATAATAAGCACGGCGTAACAACGCCATGGTGCGTTCTTCACCTGGATGGCCGGCCCACAGAGTATCATAGCATTCCATGAGAAGAGTCCTTCGCAAATCTCCTCCTTTAGGAACATAAAGTCAGTTCCCTTTCACCTTAAGGAACCCATCTTCCATGTAGAACTGGCGAGTCTTGCCCTATCCTACCAAATCGACCAAATACAATGCATCAGGATCCTTTGGGACTAGATCTTATATCTGGTCTCTTATAGTGGTGGCCACTTCGCTCCCCCTTAGGATGGCGAGTAGGCACACCGATGCTAAGTCAGCCCTTCGACTGAGCGCATCAACAACTAGGTTGGTCTTCCCACTTCGGTACTCCAGGTTGAAGTGAAATTCCGCTAGGAGTTCCTGCCACCTGGCCTGTCAGCCATTCAACTTTGGTTGGGTCATGAAATGGCTAACTGCCGAGTTGTCTATCTTGACCACGAATGGGGTTCCCAACAGATAGTGCCTCCAAAGGCGTAAGCAATGGACGACAACCAATAATTCTTTTTCGCGGTCGGCATAGCACCGTTCTGCATCCTTCAACTTCCGGCTCTCGTACGCCACTGGGTGCCCCTTTTGTAGCAAGACTCCGCCTAGAGCATAGTCAGAGGCATCCGTTTGTACTTCGAATGGCTTGGCCAAATCTCGTACGCCACTGGGTGCCCCTCTTGTGAAGGCCTCCGCTCGCTTGGGACCCCAATCCCAATGCGTGATTTTCTTTAGGAGTTCTGTCAACGGCAATGCAATGAGAGAGTAATTCTTCACAAAACTCTGATAAAAGTTGCATAGGCCAAGGAACGCCTTCAAGGCGAGGATATCCTTAGGCGGCAGCCAATCTGTGACAACCTGAATCTTCTGTTGGTCCATCTTTATTCGCCCTTCCTCGATGACATGTCTGAGTAAGTCAATCTGCTTTTGGGCGAATGCGCACTTGGATAGCTTCACATATAATTCATGCTCTTACAGTCGAGCTAGGACCTTCCGCAGGTGCTCCATTTGTTCCTCTAGTATTTTGCTATATATCACAATGTCGTCCAAGTAGACCACTACGAACTCGTCAATGTACTCTCGGAAGACTTGGTTCATCAATGTGCAAAATGTGGCTGCAGCATTAGTCAAGCTGGATGGCATGACCAGGAAGTCGTACGACCCATATCTTGTCACACAGGTCGTCTTGTGTTTATCTCCCTCAACGATTTGGACTTGCCAGTAGCCTGTCTTCAGGTCTATTTTGGTGAACACTGTAGCACCACCCAATCTATCGAACAAGTCTGCCATTAGCAGGATAGGGTACTTGTTCCTCACGGTGATTTTATTTAGGGCCCGATAATCCACACAGAGTCGTAGGGTGCCATCATGGTTTCTTTTGGAATAGCCTAGGGGACCCATAAAGGGGACTTGGAGGGCACAATGATCCCCATGTCTAGCATTTTCGTCAACTGTCTCCAAAGCTCGATGAGTTTGGGTTGTGACATTCTGTAAGGCGCCCGGGCAGGTGGCTTCGCACCCGACACCAACTCAATCTCATGGTCCACAGTGCGCCTAGGCGGGAGTCGCCTTGGCATGTCTTGTGGCATGACCTCTTCAAACTCCTTTAACAGCTCTTTCACGGTGTAGGAATAAGACCCGAAGAGCGTTCTATATCTTCAATACAGAGGGTAGCCAGGAACGTAGGTTCATGTCTTTTGACTCCCTTCTTCAATTGCAGGGCCGAGATGTTCTCAGCGGCCATCTTTATGGTTGTGTATGGGATGATGTAGGGATTGGCCCTGTTTGCTCCCATCATGAGTAGCATATCGGCATAAGGAACAGGAATGGTGTTGGTTTGCCGCATGAATTCCAACCCAATTATCAGCTCGAAGTCATCTATGATCACCACGTGCAAGTTGAATTTTCCTTCATAAGGACCAAGCTTCACTAGCACTCCTTTGGCTATTCCACCCACTGGCTGGGGCGGTGAGTTGATAGCCTTGACTCGACCTCTGCCCTTTCCCACAACTAGACTAAGACGCTCTACTTGAGTTGAGGCTAAGTAGTTGTGAGTAGCACCCATGTCTATCATCGCCCGAATGGGCATGCCATTAATTTTCATCTCGACGAACATCAAGGTCTTCTCTTGGTTAAGAGGAGGCCCCTCATCCGCCTTCTTTTTTCCTTTCTTGGTGGTAGGGCAGAGGTCCTTCTTCTTACGGATACCAGCACTGGTTCTCGCTAAGGCCTCAGAAATAGAACAAACAAGTGCATTGAAGGCACCTATTGGTTCTGTCTGGTCAACATCATCTGTGTCGTCATCCGTCCCATCATCAAAAGTTTGATGGGCGTTCGTCTGTGCATGTGGGCATTCATTGTTCCAATGTGGCCCGCCACAATGACGACATCCTGAAGGGGGCTTCTTCCA